CACACACACACAGCCCGGGCCCGGTGATGGATAATACAGTCAGTGGTGTGCACCATCACACACACAGGTATCGGGCCCTGACCTTTCGCGGGGCGCTCCCAGCAGACTGCTTTTGGCTTCACTCGCTCCAAAAGCTCCAAAAGATCCAAAATATCCAAAGCCACGTCAGTGACAGATGATCGGCGGACACTTCTGCGTGTTTTCGCCCTCTAAATCACACGCGCTAACTCCAAAATCTTCTGATTAGCCTCGTGAAACGCCAAAAAAACAACCAAAAATAAGATCTGTAAACTCTTCTTTAAAGCCCCCCCTCCCACAGAAAAGCTGATACCTCCAGTAGCATTTTTTTCTGCTCTTTCTCCTTTTTTTAAAGACCACCCGTCTGATTTTGTCTCCGCTCCGCGTCCTTTTTTTCTTTTCTTTTCTTTTTTTTTTTAGATAATTGGAACAATCCCACTGATGCCAAACTCTGCAGGGCCCTCCAGCCAATCAGGGGGTGGCAACCCGGCGCTGCAGGTCCAGCCAATTACACCTCAGCTTCTGACCAACGCTCAAGGCCAGATCATCGCCACGGTGATCGGCAATCAGATCCTGCCCGTCATCAACACCCAGGGAATCACGCTGTCACCAATCAAACCCGGACAGCAGGTAACACACACACACGCACACACACACACACACATACACACACACACATAAACACACATAGACACACGTACAGAGGAAGATTGTCCACTGAGGGGTTTATTACAACATTAAATGGACGTTCCAAAGCCGATCAGGGGCTGTTTTCATTACTGTGGAATGAGCAGCACCTAGTGGAGTCCGACTGGACTCCTGTTTATTCCTTTTTCCGTGTTTTTTTTCCCCACTTCGGACTTTTCAACATTCCCACGTAGCCCTCCGATCGGTCAAAAATAAGTAAGAAGTCCCATTTAGTGCCATTTAGTACCATTAATCGCGTACAGATACACTCAAGGTGTGTCTGTAAGCCCACCTCTCAGGCCCAGAGACCACCTGACCCCCCCGCCGAGCCCAAACGGGAAAGAAGAAGAAAAAAAACTCCTGCCTTTCATCTACTCACTTAAAGCCCAAACCCGTCCACTTCTGTTTCTCACCTGGTTTGCACTCCCCCTTCCTCCTCTTCCTCTACTCGCCTCAGTCCCACTCCATAGTCTTTTTGTTGTTTTTTTTCCCTCTCTGACCTTAACAAGAAGTATTTTGTTTTGATTTAGGGGGAGGGGAACGTAAACCAATTGAGGTTTTTTTGCCGTTTCGCACCCCTGGATGGAGTTCAGACTGTAGGTGGAGTAAATACCTTCTCCTATACGCTGACAGGTGCACGGTGAAAAAACGTTATCGGCTCGATAATGATGGCGCCCCAGTTGAATTACGGGGTAAAAGGTTCACATTGAAAGCCCTGGAAGGACGCCGTCTGCAGATGGACACCTAATTGCTGCGTCCGAACCGGCGGATCACATACTTGAATAGATTAATGCATTTCTAATAATGTTTATGCTTTTGTTTGGAGCTTCAAAGCCCGCATGTACACATTGTTCCGCGGGCATAATTTACGGTTGTCAGAGGCGGCGGTCGGGAATATTTCCAGTGAAGCTAGATAATTCTCCCAGCCTGTCAACAGTCCTGACAGTGTGTGCATCGCCGCTGACACCCCCCCCCCACACACACACACACACACCACCACCACCATCCAAACAAACACATGCCACGGGAAAAATAATTAATAGCAAAGAAGGAGAGGAGAAGCCATCCCAGTTTACCGCGGCGGAGACAGCTTTTTTCTCTCTAAAAGTAAAGACATAGCGTCCCGATCTTGTAAAAGCAATCCGAATGTGCATAAAACATGAAAATACCGGGTGTTTTTGCACTCAGAGCACAAAGCCGGCGGATCGTGGATTACGTTTTTGATACGGCGGGCGCCACGTGTCCGCGTGTTTTCCGTGACATTATGAGCACGCTCACGGGCTTGATGACGAGACGGGAGGTTTCTAATTGTCAGGAGCTGTTTTCCGACTCAAAGACAGTCGGGAACCTGAGCCGAACCGGCGTTAAACCCTCAACTCAACAGTCAAATCTCACCACATTTGGCTTTTCCAGTGGCCAAGCGGGTTAGCGGCTGATTGGCTGATTGAGTCCGATGTTTTCTTTGCGGTGGCCGTAACGACATAATTACCGAAAACTCTTGATTTTTCCGATGAAATCCAGCAGGAATGACGTGTGTTTTTACGCTGTTGTTTGTGTGTCCAGCTGCCCCCGGCCCAGCAGGGCCAGACGGGGGCCGCCTCGGCCCAGCCCGGCCTGCTGCACATGCCCCACAGACAGAGCCCGCTCCACCAGGCCTCCTCTTCCTCCTCCACCTCCTCCTCCTCCTCCTCCGCCCTCAGCGTGGGCCAGCTGGTCAGCAGTAAGTGTCGGACGCCTCTCACACACCGAAACCACACTGGACGCCGTTCCCATCCACGGGCAGCGTGACGTCACCCCCTAAATTGCAAAAACAAAAGGCTTTTGGGATGGACCTGCTATGAGAAATTCTCTTCCTCTTTTCTCCTGGTCAGGCACAGTTTTTTTTAGTTGAAGTCTCTTTTTTTTACTTTGGATTAGCACAAAAAAGAGACCAAATATAAACAACACTGTGTGTGTTGGGGCGGAGAAAGGGGGGGTTCGTGTAGCTAGCAGTGTAGTTTATCGTGTTCTTATTAGTTTCCGGATGACAGCAGAGCTGGATGTCACAGAGGAACAAGATCTCAGTACTTTGTCCCAGAACCCGTCCTCTGTTGGCCTCAGTCCACCATCAGAACAAACAACCCGAAAAGCTAAATAAAAATCCTTCAGCTTGTAATTTATTTAAGTCCGAAGCACTTTTCAAATACTTTGTAAAAGGTTTCTTCTTCTTCAGTCGGGTGCAGAGATTTGCTTTATTCATCCAGCAAACAAACCGATACAGGACTGATATCTATAGCAAATATTTCCCTGAACAGCCCCCTAAAAGACAAACAGGAACAGAAATACTGACGGACCTCATTGGGATATCTTTGTCTAGATATTCTTCTCTCCTGGACTGAAACAGATAGATGTTGCCAAACCTCATCAGAGAAAAGGGGTCCAGTTAGAGTTCCAGTAAATGGTCCTCTTAACATTACTGGAGGAGGTTTAACAAGAGGGACGCTCAGTGTGGACAACGGCTGACTCATTGTTTTTGTGTTTTTTTTTCAGACAGTCATTTCTTTAGTTTATTAGACAATCCAAAATGGTGTTTTTTTTTTATAATGACCATAAGGTCTGTTCACCTTATAAATCTCTGGGCCACAGCCTGTCGGCATACTGCTGCTGCCTTTAAAAAACGCTGTTGTATTCACAGAAATTTGATTTGTCTGGGTCAATTCTCCCTAAACTCACGTAAACTCATTTTAAAGGCAGCCATACTTCCATCTGATTTAATAGAAACAAAGCTGCAATTGATCAACTTGTTGTGGACTTTGGGTTGAGTTTGAGTTTTCTTGGAGTTTCGAAAACAGCTTTGAGAGTGAATATTCATGCAGAGTTGGAGCCTTGGCTTTGTGTAGATCTGCCAAAAAACCACCAGATAAAGATGAAAAAGCTTATTTTTGTTAGCCTGACTTTCTCTAATTTAACTGGACAAAGTCAGATGTAAAGAATTGGTGTGTCCCAGGTTCATCAGTTTTTTTCTTTTCGTCAGAATGATTTATTTGGTGTATCTTTGTTAAGGCAAACGACCAGGATGCAGTTGGGTTGTATGCAGCTGCTGGCGGGTTTATCACTCTTTCTCTGTCAGTTAACACTGTGATTGTGTTTTATCCATGCAGAAACCTACTAATTACAAACCCGCTCCCTTTTTACGAAGCATAAAATGGGATAAACTGCAATTCTATTTCAGCGAGGGAACCAGGAACTTGAGAGACTTTTTTATAAAAGTTTCCATTAACGTTTCCATGGATTAAAACCCTGTAGTTTTGTGCAGATGAAGGAAAAAATTCTCATCGGTAACGTTCTTAATTGAAATATCAATTAAAAATCATGTTGATTGATGTAGCCTTTTTTAGAGATTTTTTTTTAATCTGCTGGTCAGCCCTTTAAAAATGTCTTAAATCAGTACAATTAATTAAAGCAGCATTAAGTAAAACATCAGCTGGACAGATTTTCTGCATCCATCAACGCGATTTGATCCTTTAATGTAGAACATAATTTAACACCAGGTTTGACCACTGAACCACATAGTCATAAATCACATGTAAACAGCAGAATGTGATCTCTAACTTGAACTCTAAAAACATCTTAATGATCTGTTTCATCTGAATGAAAAGCATAAAACAAATATCTGTCGCTGTCACAGAAAGACAAGCAGATTAAAACAAGCCCAAGTTGTAATAGATAAACCTATAAGTGTCAATATTAGCAACTTTTGGTTTCTCAGAAGCTTTTTTCTGTTGTTAATTACTTTTTAATTTCACCTAAAACATTTTATGGACAATTTGAATTGTTCAGAGAGAGTCCCACTCATGGATTAATTGGGTTTGAATCTTAAATGATGCTCAAATTCTGACCTAAAAAAATAAATAAATAAATGGATCCAGAGCTAGATCAATGGAGAACTGCTTCCATTACTCTTTCAATCCACTAAATAAATAGCCCTCCGCTGGGAGTGATGAAGAAATGCTCATCACTGTGAGGATGATGAGGCCTGAAGCTGAGTGCTGGGAGTTTTGGAGTCCCTCATCCTCGCGGCGTTCGCACGTCTGGAGCTCGCCGCACACGCCCCGCGTCACTTATGAGCCACTACGAGATGGCAGCTTCATAGATTTCTGCTTAAATACGCTTGGAGGATTCCTTTAATAATTCATTGATAATGACCAGGATGAATAATTCAGAGGCACAAACTTTGCTTTGGTAAGCAGGATGCCGGGGCACCTGACATTGATGTACAACGCAAAATCACTTTTTATTAGCCGGGAAATTCTTTAAAACGCCTCGGTGACGCTTTTCCAGAACGGCACGAATATTGAGATGCACAAACAGCCTTTTGTTTTCTTTCCCCTGGTTAGGAGTTGTGTGCCAAGCCGTCTGCTTGCTGCTACTCTGAGAGCGCATTAAGGAGCTTTGGCACTGCCAATTCCTTTTATCTATTTAATTAACAAACTGTGTTTGTCAAGGGGTTTCTGTCCATTTTTGCTTTTTTTTATTGAGCGAGATAAAAGATTAACACTTGCAAACCAAAGCCTGACAGTCTGCGTTGGCCCCCTTCAGAGGAATTGTTCAAAACGTCTCAAATATGGGGGTAGAAATTTTTTATTTTTTATTTATTTATTTATTTAATCAGGACAGTGCACATTAATGAACAATCTCATACAGATTGTAAATGGGCCAGATTATAGCATAGTTGCTAGTTTACATCTGTCGTCCTGAGGCAGGAAGACCAAACAACACAAAATCACAAAATACAAAATCAGTCCAAACACACGTTCAGACAATGACATTACAAAATTAAAATGAATTCAATTCAATTCAATTTCATTTATATAGCGCCATATCACAACAACAGTTGTCTCACAGCGCTTTCCAAACAGAGCAGGTCAGACCCTACTCTGAAGTTAATTACAGAAACCCAACAATTCCCACCATGAGCAAGCACTAGGCGACACAGGCAAGGAAAAACTTCCTTTTAACAGGCAGAAACCTGGAGCAGAACCATGGCTAATAACAAATGAATAAATAACTAATCCTGAGCCGGAGGAGGACTCCGTTTGCACGTTTTTCTTTAAGAGATCGTCGTTTTTGCCTCATTGGCTGGAGCAGAGGACTCACTCACAGATTTGTGTTTGCTTTCAGACCCCCAGACCGCCCCCAGCGAGGTGGACGGGGTCAACCTGGAGGAGATCCGCGAGTTCGCCAAAGCGTTCAAGATCCGCCGGCTGTCCCTGGGCCTGACCCAGACCCAGGTGGGCCAGGCCCTGAGCGCCGCCGAGGGGCCGGCCTACAGCCAGTCCGCCATCTGCAGGTAACCCGGTCATCATCGGCCCGCCTCATTTCCAACCAACACGTCCTTATTCTGTCAAACAAGAGCAGGCGCAGCTGTGCAGCCTCGGCGAGCTGTCAGGGGCTCTGATCCGCTCCCGTTCAATCTTTTAAAAGGGCATTATTAAGATATTAAAATACATAATTGACTGACGTGGCACACTTACACTCTCCTTCCTCCTTAGCCGCCGACATGACAGCCGCGCGTCACTTATGCAAAATACATACACAAGTATTACCAGAAGCACTTAAAGCTTTTAATAATTACTAAAGCGCACAGGCTGTTCCCCCCGCCTGAACATGAGAGAGTTTGACGGCGATGATCTGTTAATAAGATTGCCGTGTTTCACCGCTTCCACCAGGACGGTTTAGCTGTAAATGGCGCATTATATATTCATGAGACAATCAGTGTTTCATCCAGCCTGTTTTTCCACTTGAGTGACGCTTTGCATGAAGAAGCCCAAAATGAGTCACATTTGCCTTTTCAAGCCAGAATAATTGGACCATATGTAGTAAAAAAAAATAGCATTATTTAAAAAGAACTTAAAGGAAAAGTCACTTACTGTGTAAGTACAGTGTAGGAAAGTACTTCAAGCAGCAGGTTTAGTTCAAAAGTTGGAAAATAAAACTTTTTCTTCTCTTTTTCCTCATAAAATCTACATGCTTGTGGTCGCTTTTTCTGAACGATTCCTAAATTACTCTCAGCGTCACCTTTGAAAATGCATGTGTTTTGATGACCTGTGCTGTTTAGGTGACGATGTCACGTACCCTTAAAATTTTCATCGCATCAACATCAAACGGCAGATAAAATGTGAAGCGGCGTAGGAACCGGGGTTCCTTATGAGGCCCCGGCTAATGTTTAAAGCCGAAAAATCGCGCATCAAATATTTACACGCCGGCATAATTCAAATATTTATAACATACATTAAAAGCCATTAGCTTGAAAAATAAACACTGCGTGGGCTGTTAGTCGGGCTGTTAAGACAATTTTTTTTTCTGCTTCGTGACATTGGACATGACATCCTGATGTTTTAAGTAGCAGAGCAGACTTCACATGCTTTCGTTTGGTTAACATCAACATAGACAAGAAGTTTGTGGAGCGGGACGTCACCGTAGCTCTGGGGCTCCAGTTCTGAACTCAGACAGTGAACAGACACTGACAGATGCCTCCATCTTGTCTGTTTTCATTGCTCGCTATGTTTCCAGCCGCTTTATTAGTTTATCTAAACAGGCACAGGCATTACACGACTGTCTTCAAAGCAGCCCCGGCCCCCGAGTATGCTCTTTGGGCCCAAATTAAGTTTGATATTAGAGAAGTTAGGAAAGAATTATGATGAAAAGAGACATTTCTTTAAAGAGCAAACACTACATAAGTCTTGTTTTAATCCATAGTAGAAAGAACACATCACAACACCTGAACTCAACAACTGAATTCTGACAGAGTGCTATGTTTTTCATGGAGTTTTTTATTTTTCTATAGTCATTTTTGGTCTGAAATTCCCAACATCTGGAATGAATCTAAGCAAAAACGAGCCGGCTGATATTAGACAAGGAAATTAATTAATACTGTTAACGATATTGAGTGTGTTAACATTTTATTCCAAAATGCATGAATCCCTATAATAGAGTGCATTTTATGACCAATTTAAAGCCCACAGGCTGCACACTGGACACCTAATACCTGCAGACAGCCTGTGAAGCAAATATGCCATGAAATGTATTTCTCTAATGACCAAACCTGCAGCTTACGGATGTTAGTCACAGAGATAAAACTGAATCTACAGAGTAAATGAGAAAATATTAATGAGTAGCTGTCGGATCTAAAAGGTGAGATTATTCAAAGGTAACTTGCAGGAACTTACAGGAAGTTGAATATCTGAGGATTTTGGGCAGATGAGGCATTGTTTTTGCATTTTTGTTGTTATACCTGAGTCGTGTCTCATGTAAAGTTAGCTTAATTTGAAATAATTCAAACAGGAGCAAAAATGGTCACCCACACACTCTATAGAACAAACTGATCTGAAGGTTTGTCTGCTCTGTTTTTAGTTTTGATAGTGCAGATGTTCGTGGCACATCTGGCCACTTTCAAACGTGACGCATTCAATGAGGCTCAGAAACGAAAACTCTTCTGAGGTAGCACTCTGATGAGAGCCTGTAGTTATGCGAAAAGTGTCCAACGACAGTATATTAACCGGCCCCTGCTTTAAATTTACCAGGACAAATTTAACAGATCCACAAGAGAGCAAACTGTAAATCTGTTGTTGACTCGACCAAATTTTGACGTGTCAGCAAAGTCAAACGTGAAGCTTTTGATTTGAGATTTTAGAGAACGCGGCCCTCCAGATTCAAACGACACTGATGTGGTTCATGGCTATGAAGCCTCGGGCAGTCAGAGCAAATGTAGCAGCATGAGGGGAAACCTCAGCCCCTCTCCCCTCATTTTAGCACGCGCAGATCCTGTTGATCCATGAAATATCTCGTCTCTGGCGACTCCTCACATTTACTAATGTGTTCCTTTCAGTACGGGGCCCTCCTCTTCCTCCTGTTTAGAAGGAACTGGGTGTTATAAATAATTCTGGAGGAACTGGCCGACGAGGTGTAGGAACAGAGCCGGTTCATGCATGCGTGGACATCTGGCCCTCAGCTCACTTTGCCATTAAAAACGGCTTTTTTTGTCCTGTTTGTTCCACAGAGAGCCGAAGCTTCACTTTGGCTCTCTGCTGTTTTTCCAAAAGAAAACATCCCGAAGGATTTGAATATTTCTTTAACGGCATTCTTAGGTCTGAAGAGAAGCTTCAGAGTCTTCTTCTGCTTTCAGACGAACTGGTTAACGGGTCTGGTTAAACTAGAGTTTTGTTCATTAACTTGATGCCACCTGAAAACCTTTTTTAAAGAAACTCGTAAGCCTTTTATGGGTGAGGGGCTGTTGGCGTTTTTTCAAATTTTTACACAAAAACCAACAAAAATAATCTTTTTTAATTATTTATTTTACATAATCCCACATAAAAATAATTAAAAGGTTGAGTCCAAGTATTTTTTTGCCTGTTACCATGACAGCCTTTTGAACAAAATGATCAAATACGAAGCAGTTTGATTTATTTTCCTTGTCACAGTCCTCACTTAGGGCATAGTCCACAAAAGCCTGATAATAAGGAACATTACAGACTTCTGAGAAATGGAGAAAAATCCACCCACATCACATCCAAAATGCCCCTGACGGTCACTGAGCTGCCAGCGTCCAGCTGTTGCTCCGTCCTCTGCTCTAACTGGACGTCCAGGAGGACTTCCAGAAGTCTGAATTACGTTTCCGGGACTTTTAGCGTTTGAGCGTGTAACCGTATTCTTATTAAATATAAAATGAGAGGTTTTTTAGAAGATGAAAGAAAATTTGAAAAATGGATTGAATGTACATTTTGATCAATAATTCAGGCTTTTTGTGTAAATAAATGATGGCGCCGTATTTAACTGCATGCATTAGTGGATATATTTTTTGCTCTTATCACCTGGGGCAAGAAAATGGGATATTTGGAGTGATTCCTGTTTGTTGTCCCTTTGATTTATGGGACCTCTGAAGTACATTTAGTTGCTTTTTTTTTTTTTTTTTTTTTCATTATGATGTTGGTTCGGCTGCCCCCGATTTCCAGCCGCCGGCACTATCTCCTTGTTCCACTATTGCCAATTTGGGACAGAGAAAAAACCACAGCCTCGCCCAAAAAAAAAAAGTGACCAGGTGTGTCCCGGTGCGGGACACCAGAGGAGTTTGTCTCAGACGGGCACCTGGATGTTAGTCTCCGTCCCCTGTGTGGCATTCTGGTTGAGGAGATTTAAAAAAAAAAAAAAAGGCAGGCAGGCAGGCAGCTTATCCCTTGTTTTTCTGACAAGGCACCTGAGTAAGATTCTTTTTTCTCAATTCTCCCCAGACACACCATCCTGAGAAGCCACTTTTTCCTACCACAGGAAGCCCAAGAGAACACTATAGGTAGCAGTCTGACAGGCAAACTGAACCCTGGCCTTTTATATCCTGCCAGGTTTGAGAAGTTGGACATCACCCCTAAAAGCGCCCAGAAGATTAAGCCCGTTCTGGAGCGCTGGATGGCCGAGGCTGAGGCCCGCCACCGCTCCGGCATGCAGAACCTGACCGAGTTTATCGGCAGCGAGCCGTCCAAAAAGCGCAAGCGGCGGACCTCTTTCACCCCGCAGGCGCTGGAGATCCTCAACAGCCACTTTGAGAAGAACACGCACCCCTCCGGGCAGGAGATGACGGAGATAGCCGAGAAGCTGAACTATGACCGGGAGGTGGTGCGCGTCTGGTTCTGCAACAAGAGGCAGGCCCTGAAAAACACGATAAAGCGCTTGAAACAGCCCGACCTGGGCGGGGCCGCGCCCATGGACCCTCTCACCGACCCCCTGGAGGAGCTCCCCAAATGAAGAAGGGGGAAAGTGGCAGCCATTGGAAAAACGACGACAAAAAAAAGGGCCGGACGAACTCTTCCGGAGACGAGAAAATCGGAAATCTTTCCCCCTCCCCCCGAGTCGCCCGGATGGACGGTGGAAAAACTTTGTGTTGTCAGTGTGATTACCACAGTTTGTGTATATGACCTCGGCCAAACCAAAAACACGATGAAGAGATCGATATCTGAGAATCCTGTAAAAAAAAAAAAAAAAAAAAAAAAAAGATGTGCTGTGCTGTTTTCAAAGAGTTTTAGACTGTCACTGAAATTTTGGTTCCCACCAGGAGGGGATTTAGTAAAGAGATCATACCAAATCAAAACACTATTTACCAAAGTCTGTTGCATCTGAGTACTAAGAATAATTTTGTAATGTAAATGTGCTCTAAATTTTTACATTTGTACCGGCAAAATCTAAGCTATATGTGTGAGGTTGAGTACGCGTTTTATCTTTGTCTCGACGACATTTTTTCCTCATTGTTTGTTTGTAAATATCGAAAAGAAAAAAGGAAAAAAATGCCGTCTTCAGATTTAATCACACCGATAAAGTCGTTTTGTTTTGTTCGTTCCAGTTTGTGTCTCATCTGCAGATATTTTCGGTCACTGTGTAACTTTGTACAACTTTTACAGGTATTTATTAATGATTCCATGAGATTGTTGCAGAGGACAAAAACTAAACGAGCGGGAATCCGAGGACGGTGACGCGGATCCCGGCGGGTTTGGGGACGGAGTTTGTCCGGAGCTACTGGGTCATTCTGTTGCCAAAGCCTGATAGCCAAAGAACACACAACCTTCAGCTCAAGGACTGGGGAAGACCTACCTTTTTTTTTTTTTTTTTTACCTTCACACGGCTTTTCTCTCCCCCTTTTTCTATAACGTGTTTTACTCTGTGTTTGGAAAAAGAAAAACATGTCAAACAGCTACACTAGTGTCTTCTGTAATTTCTTATGGCAGAAACATGTAAAAAAAAAAAAGTATTTTCTTTCCGCTGGATTTGCCTCTGCATGCTTCACCTCCGACCACGTGAAGAAATATTTATTTAAAGGCTTCACCCGACGTCTCAAAAGGGAAATATTTCACTGAAAATTTGCAATAAGGTTTGAAGAGGAGCTCCCGATTTTACGCGATAAATGTTCCAAATTGGTCCAAGAATTGATTAAATGTCTATTGTTGAAGATTTTTTTTGTTTCCACCGACCAAACCTCTGAGATCCTTCTACTCTGGCTGCTTTTGTAATCTAAAAAACTCTTAACAAATGTGCTTTTTCTTCAAATATAGCCTCTAACTATGTTTTTATCCTCCAAGTGAAGGTCAGAGATGTTTAATGGCTTTTTATTTTTTTCAGTTGTGAATTCTTTCCTGCTAATTATTTGACCTGAAACCTTTTATTTGAAAAAGAAATCCCCCTCTCAGATTTTGTGTATTTGTGATCATTTTTATTATTATTACGTTTAGGGATTAGTTTCAACCCTTTCGACTTTTCAAGTAATTCACTCTCCATCCCCCCTGTGTGCTACAATTTTATCTTTAGGTGGTATTTTCATGTCAGAAGTGTCACTTATATAGCAAACTCTCAGACCTCCGCTCCAAATACGAGTCCCCTCACAGGAGAGATGTGAGAATAAGTGTCACATGTCAGGATGAGTGAACTTAATCTGAAGTGAGGAGAAATTTGATGCAATTTATTCAGAATCGAGTGTCTGGGTGATGCACGTCCCTCCGTGTCAGTTTGGTTATTTCAGTTTTCGGGCCGTGTTTTCACCAAACAGGCGCAAAAAACACTGAAATGTCAGAAAACAGCTAAGAAAAGCTTTACATATCTGTATAGTAAAAAGCCACAATGAGCAGCTGCAGATCAGAGTGATTTTTTAGCTAAATTTTCATCATCCAATCCTGTTTTTTTTGTTTTTTTACTGCATCTCCACCTCCAGCTTTCACTCATTCTCATTTCGCTGTTGGTAAATAAATAATTTCAGCCAGAACTTACATGTCTGTAGAGATAGATATATTAAGAGAAAATAAAAAAAAAAAAGCAGCAGTGTCAGTTCTGATGTTTTAACAAAAAGCTGAAACCAAAACCAAATAAAGAAAAAAGACACAGATAAAGGAGTTCTGCCTTTGCTCGACTTTTACAATGCTGGACCAAAGCTCTATAGTTATGCACATTGTACAGAGACGTGGATTCATGGTGTTGACAATCTTTCCAATTTGAGAAGAAATCGAAAGTGCAGGAGATCCTCCAAGGTTTACCTCAGTACTGTTCACGAGAAATCATACAGATGCCATAAAAGCAGCTGCAGGTCAGAAGCAAAGTGGGTTTCTCTGCACTGTGTCTGTTCACTCGTTGTGTGTCTGTGTGTGGGGGGCATGTGCTTTTTTTTGGGTTCATTTGATTATGTGACACATGACTGTTTTACTTTTGTGAATCGGCCTCTGGAGCCACGCGTGACTCATTTTTGTTTTCGGTGGAATTGTAGATTTTTTTTTCTCATTGCTGTGTAATAGAAGATCCCCTCTCAGTTCTCACGGCCCTGTAAAACCTGCATAGGAAAAAAAAAGACTACAGAAATGTTGCTCTTGACTTAATTAGGACTGATTTTTAGTTTTTCACCGCCAAAAAACATTTAGGAATTTGTCCCACAGACACAGACAAACTAGATTTCAAGTTTCATCGTCAAAAACTGGAAACCAAAGCTGAAGAGCCTGCAGAGGTTGGTTTAACTATTCTTCTTTTTTTTTATTATTATGATTTCTTTTTATAGACTGAAAACTGTACTTAATCTATAGAGCAATATCTGTTTGGTCGGTTGAGCAGCACTTTGTGTATTTCTAAAAAATAAAAAAGAGAGAGAAAGTAAGACAAAAGAAACGAGCTTCAAGTCTGTCACGTTGATTTGTATCATAATTAGTAATAAACGATTGTTTGACATGAAATCTGTGCCAGGTTTTTCCCGTGGAATTACTTGTCTATGACAGAGGAAACACACGGAACTCACCCGACTTTATGCCAACTTTTGGGAACATTTGGGACTCGTTTTTTTCTTCTAAACGCAGCCACAATGTTACAGCTCAGTCCCATCTCAGCTTTTTTCTCCCAGTTTATTTGCCTGTTTGGTTTGACTAAGTGCTCCTTCCTGTGATGTCACAACACAGGTTCATGAAAGACCACAACAGGATCAGAATTTTGGGTTTACACACAACAATTTAGGATGACACGCCCAAATCTTTAGTTTACTGAACACATACAGGTACACTGAGCTCCTGTTGGAGAAAACAGTTTGTTATGTGAATGACCTCAGGTAGATATTCAGGATAATGAGAATTTAAGATGGCGTTTGTCAGATATTACAGATCCTGAAGAGGATAGATGTGATAAATGCACCAAACCCACCAAATATGCTCAGTTTGCAAAATGAGACTGAACGTTATCAAAATCAAAGGCTGCACGTGGTGCAGGTTTTTGTTAGATTTTGATCCTTTATATCCTTTTTTTTCAAAGAAAAGAAAGAGGAGAAGACAAATCTGCTCTACTGATTGGTCCATGTTTTCTTCTCCTTCCTTTGAGGTTTCCACTGAGGTTTTTTCTTCATGGGGTCGTGGCGGGTGGGGTGCATCCTGAACGGGTCACCGGTTCATTATCCGGCCACACGGAGACCAATGAGCCACACGACCACGCTCAAACTCGCTCCCAACTGCAATCTGAAGTCACCAATTAGCACAGAAAAGGCCCCCGGCCTGAACGAACCCACGAAAAAAGCTGCCTTTTCATTTGCTGACAGCATTTTGAAAGTGGCTGAGAATCAGAGATGTTCAGTAACGAAGTAGAACTACTTAAGTACTGTACTTAAGTCCCAAAATGCAGTATCTGTACTTTATTGGAGTAGATATATTTTTTCCCTACTTTTACTTTTACTCCACTACATATTTTTGATTGATTCAATACTTTTACTTTTACTTTCACGACCTGAATCGTTACTCGTTACTGATATGAAAACGTAATAAATCATCCCTAAGTCATAGTGTCAGAGGGTTTGGGAAGCTGGCTCCTCATTGGCCGATTTGAGCCATCAAGCATAGACTATAAAAAAAATACCTCCTGAAAAATTGCAAAATGTATGTACTTTTAATACTTTAGTAGCAACTTTTGAAATACTTCTACTTGCAATACTTAAGTTAAAAAAAATGGAGTACTTCCGTACTTCCACTTAAGTATGGCGTTGAAAGAACACTTATACTTTTACTCAAGTTAATTTTTTTATGTAGTACTTGTACTTCTACTCCAGTACTTTCTACATTTCTGCTGAGAATAGGCAGGATGGAGGACACCCTCGGACACGTCACAGGTTTTTAATTTCAGCTAAAATGGCTGTAATTCACCATCTGCTAAGGGTCAGATGAGGATCTGTGTCAGTGACACATGTAGAGTGTCACATAGACCAGAGTTTCCAGTAGGATGCCACCATTTCACCTCAGTAATCTTCTTTTCAAACTCTGTGTGGAGAAAAAAATTGCTGTATATTTGTGAGGCTTATCAGCCTTTCCTTCCAGATCTTTACTGACCATTTCGACTGCTTTAATGAGAGAATATTCTTTCCAAAAAAGAGAATTTTTGCCCATTTATTCATATTTCTTTGGAGTCCCTGGAAAAAAGAATAGATGTCAGTTTTGCTTCTCATCAAAGCGTTCTGCGTTGGCTTCACCAAATAACAGCAAGACAAGTGTAAGGAAGAAGATATATATAAATAAACGAGGAGAAAAGCCTTTTGAAACTAAACTCAAAGTTTGATACGGCTTCCCTGTCCAGGATGCCTTTGAAAAAACGGGCAAGCTGCCGAGAAAAAAGACAGAAGTAAATAAATAAATAATAATAATAAAAAGCGCAGACGACATAAATTATTAACATTAGACTGAAGACTGAAGTTCAAGATGCTTTCTCGTCTTCCTCTCAGCTCTCGCCCTTCATTTCAAACGTGGCGTGTG